TTATTCTTGCACAGTTTGCTTTTGCTTGCTTATAATTTTAATATCTATCTAAATTTTTTTCAGTGACTATCTTTGGAGAAAAGGCCATAAGAAAACATGGTGGGGAAAATATTATTGTGTCCAATGCTGCTGAAATGCCAGATCTTATTCACATAAAGGAAATGCTTGAACCGCTTGTTTGTGCAACCATCATAACTCCAGGTAAAGCACATCAAACAGAATATTCTATCTAAGAAAGAAAATATGTTTGGATTGATGAGTTAAACTAAATTTTATCACAGATACTTACATTGGCCCCATTGTAAAGCTGTGCATGGAACGCAGGGGGAAAGAAGTGTCAGCACCAGCAGCTATAGATTCCAAAAGAGTAATGATGAAATATATTTTACCTTTAAATGAGATAGTTATGGATTTCCATGACACTCTCAAGTCTTTATCATCAGGTTATGCCAGTTTTGACTACGAAGAACATGATTATGCTCCATCAAATTTAGCTAAGGTTGAATTTTTTTAATGCTGACTAAGAATTTTTAAATTATAAGTTTTAGAGAATTATTATATTTGATGCAGTGCTCTGTTTCAGCTGGACTTTATGTTAAATGGAATTGAAGTGCGGGAATTAAGCATCATAGTACATGAAAGTAAGGTCAGGGAGGAAGGCAGACGATTAGTTGATAAGCTATGTGAATTAATTCCAAGAGAACAATTTGGGGTTAGTAAATACTTAGTAGTTAAAAAATTTCTGTTTTATGATAATCACACCCTGTTGCAATGTCTTGTTTCATTTACTTAATTTTGGACTGAATATGATTTGTGTATTTTTATCGATCATTTATTATGTAATGTTTTTTGATCTCTATCTTATTCAGATTGTTGTCCAAGCATCAACTCGTGGGAAAATTATAGCTCGAGGAAACATCAAACCATACAGAAAAGATGTAACTGCAAAATTGGTAAGGAGATCATATAATTTTTATATGTATTGAGAGCTCTGTAACAAACAGCTAATATGTACCTCTTTTCACTTTTTGTTTAGTATGGCGGTGATATAACACGTAGGAATAAATTGCTGGCAAGGCAAAAAGAAGGAAAAGAGAGGTTAAAAATGGTTGCTAATATTGGTTTACCAAGAGATACATTTATCAAACTATTGAAAAAG